TCGGGTGAGGAATCTCTTCAACGCCGCGAAACAACTGGTTAGCTTCTAAACTTCCCTTACAGTGTAGGGTGACTTCATATCAATGACCGGCTATATTTTCTTTGGATTTGCCTCTATCCCCCTTTGATCAATCAAAAATCCAAGAAACTTCCTAGACTCAACACCAAAGACACACTTCTTTGGATTGAGCATGACCTTGTGTCGGCTGAGTGTGGTGAAGGTTTCTCGGAGGTCAGCAAGATAGTCTGTCTGTAGCTTGGATTTGACTATCATGTCATAAATGTAAGCCTCTACGTTTCTTCCGATTTGATTAATGAAGACCGTATTAATCATTCGTTTTCTTCAAGCCAAACAGCATCACAATATAACTAAATAACCCCTGATTAGCGACGAATGTCGTTTTCTCTTGATCTTTCTTCCACAAGGGTATCTGATGAAAGCCTGAATAGGCGTCCATGAAAATCATCAAGGCATGTCCGGCTGTAGAGTCGACTAGACTGTCGATCTTTGGAAGCGGATAACTGTCTTTCGGACATGCCTTGTTCAGATCAGTGTAATCAACACACATGCGCTAGGTACCATTCGGCTTCTTCACAAGAACAACATTCGCAACCCAATATGGGAAGTGACATTGCCGAATGAACCCGGCGTCTAACAACTTCTTTACTTCGGCGGCTGCTGCCTGACTTCTCTCCTCACCGTGATTTCTTTTCTTTTACCTAAAAGGCTTCTTTTTTGGATACACGGCGAGCTTGTGGACATCGAGATTCGGGTTGATGCCTGGCATCTCTTCCACTTCAAAGGCAAAAATGTCCTTGAATTCCTTCAACATATTGTGTAAGTTTGCCCCAAGCTTTGCAAAAGCAACAGTCCTAACCTTTACAGTTCGCTCCGGACGTGTGTCATCCAGAGCGATGTCAATGTGTTCACCAGCAGGCTGGGGACGGAGGCCATCTGAACGTTCCCCGGTCAGTGATTGCTATTGCTTCTCATTCTAGATAGTCACCAGCTGGTTTCTATTCTTGCCGCCTGCTGGTAGGGCAGACTCAGGTTCCTTAACATCGTCAAGGACTATTGGCTCCACTCCCTGGCTCACTGCCGTGGGCTTGATGTCCGAGAGATAACACTCTCGGGCCGTCTTCTGGTCACCATTTAAAGAGCCAATAGAGCCATCATCTCTTTCAAACATCAGCAACATGAGGGATGGAATAATGACGGCCTTGGATTCATTCAGAGTCGGACGACCTATTATCATGTTATAGGCGGTCAGCTCTTCTACGACCAAGAACCGGACGACCATATTACGCCCTTTTCCCCTCTCCCAGCCGGATGGGCAGATCAATGCGGTTGACTGGGTGCACAACTCCACCCCCTAAACCAACCAAAGGGTGTGAGACCTTATGCATGCTGCATGGCTTGTACTTCAGCTTGGACATACAATGCCAGCTGAAATTTCAGACGAGCTGCCTGTGTCAATAAGCATCCGACTAACCTTTTGATTGGCCACCTTACATTCAATGACAATGGGGTCATCATGCGGCCGGCAGACTTCGCCGTGGTCCTTTTAAGAAATGATGACCTCAGGAAGGTGTCGGTAGACGTCTGGCCTTCATCAACCGAGATAACGTCCATCTGTCTGACATGGTCCTTGGTGCCTCTGATAGTTGGGCCCCCACAGGCAAAGCCGCCTGCAATGGTGCAGATCATGTCCAGATCAGTGTCCAAACCACTATCAGCCTTTGCCGACTTTTTTTACGGCTGCCTGGGATCCGTCTTCAAGGTCACCTTGGACTTGAGTATATAGGACTTCAGCATCCCCTTATCAGCCAATATGTCTAGCAACTGCTTGAGGCTATAGCAGTCATTGGTGTCATGGCTAATATCCTCATGGAAATGGCAGTACTTGTTTTTATTCCGGTTTTTGGCCGGACCCTTCATAGCTGCGGGCTTCTCTATAGTCACCCGGTCTTTTATCTCCATGTGGATGAAGTAGCAGCCCTATTAAACTCGTACTTGGGGAAGTACGGTTTAAAATCTTTCTTTTTCTTTTTGGACGGCTGATGAGAGTCCTCAAGCGCCCAAAATTCTTTTCTTTTCTCTCTCTCTTCAGCTTTTTGAACCGGCTGATCTTGCCGACTCCCTTTCATTTGTCGGACTTCTTTGAGTCCAATTGCTTGCTGGTGGAGCAGAGTTCGATTGCTTGTATATAAGCTTCCGCCTCTATCAGCGCCTCTTAAAGAGTGGCGATTCTCTTTCGGATGAGGTCAAACTTAAAAGTTGAACCGTCTTTTAGACCCTTGAAAAAGTCTGTATATGCAACATCGTCAGACAGTCCTTGGATATGGATTCTCACCAGATAAACCGCCTGACATAAAAACGGAGCCCCTCCATGTCTCCCTGTTGTACCGCACCCAAGTCAAGACTTGTCTTTTTAGCGGGTATATTCATGGAGAAGTTAGAGGCAAACAAGAACACAAGCGTCCTGAAATTATTTATGCACCCAGGCGGCAGGTTGCTGAACCACTGTTGGGCAATGAACTTCACTATAGCTGGGAAGCATCTACACCATGCGGCATCATCCAACCATTATAAATACATAAGGTTGGTGTAGGCCATCAGGTGATCTTCAAGGTTAGTGGTGCCGTCATAGGCTCCAACCAAGACATTCTTTACCTTAGCCGGTTGTGCCGCCTCAGTTATTTCCTTGGAGAACGCAGAATGATGTTCACCAAGTTTTAGTAGACGGAGCTACCAGTCCAGTGGCTGGACTTGATATGCCACTGACCCCCGAAGAGGGCAGGTTGCTGATATGGTTGGGCGAACGGCCTGTATGGTTGTTGGGGCACATACGGGACCGAGCCTATCATCTGAAGACATGTATGGACTGACGGGCCGCCTAACAGGTTCTCCTGTACAGATTGAGAATACCTCATCGAGGTATTCCTAAAGCTGTCTGGCATAGTCGACATTGAAGCCGAGTCAGGCAGTTGCTTGTTTCTCTTTTGCTCAATGATAAGTCGAGCATCAAAGTAAGTCTTCTTGCTACCATCCGGCTCAGTATACCAGATAAGCTTCCTCTTTCCCTATTTGGGAAGCGGAACTTGGACTAATCGATAAAAGGCCTGCCCCCCTCCTTTGTATTCAGATGCGGAGCGGGCTGCCTGTCTTTCACTGACTTAGCCTTCACAGAGTGGGCGGGCCTCTTTGCCGACTAACCCTTGCTTGGTCCAGCCGTTTTCTTGGAGATCAGGTCCTTCATCTCCCCCTTGAAGCTAGTCATGAATTTCATGAACTCTTCTCTGGTAATGTGAGCAGTTATCCTGCCGCCTGGGGCTGGCCAGTTGACTTACTTGGACCCGCCTGATCAACGCCCCGTTCCCTGTTATCCTTGGAACGGATGCGTCTGGTTTTAAGAGATCCATCTTTTGCCGTTTAAACTTCAACCTCTGGATCAGAATCGTATCATGGTCCGAGTGGACCTCTACTTCTGGACGTTTGTCCTCAGGAGGCGGTACAATCTCTTGAGAAACCATCTTAGAGTTACTCTCCCCACAGATGGCGCCAAATGTTTGGGGTTTTCATGTGTCCTGCGGGAGAGTTACGTCACCAAGACTAGATTCCCTTTGCCTGTACCTGCAAACAAACGGAAGCTCTGGTTGTGAAGAGTTTCGCCTCCAACGATTAAGTTAGTAAGAGTCGAAGCAGCGTAAAAAGTGCGGAAAGTAAAAATAGATCTTTTCGGATCCCAAGATCAGGTGTTTTCTCTGTTGTAACAAAATTGATTGTGATGTAATAAATGAATGTGTCCCCAAAATGGGGTAAATCTCCCTATTTATAGGGTCATTGGTAAATGTGCCTTTATCTAGGTCATTCTAACCTAGATTTGGTGGGCTGCGCCGCTTTGCGGCTTTCTTGGGAATTGGGCCCTAAAAGTTGTCATTCCCTGATGAGTATCTGTATGCCACGTGTCATATTTAGGTGAGTCCATTTGGACTCCTTTTAGGGTGACACGTGTCACACTTTCACTACGCCACATGGCGGGGTAAAAATCTACAAATCACATATTATATTATATCTTGTTCATTGTATTTCCTTTTACTATATTCTACGAGGCACATTGTTTGTATCATCTTTATTAATTTTGTTAAACTAGATATCTTAATTGTAATTATGTCTAATAAGATAATTTAGACAACTGGTTCAGTTCAAGTCATATTATTATATAATTATCACCTAATGATTAGTATTATTTGCTTATGTGGCCTAATTTTGTAGCTATTATGTGTTTTCTAGCTTTATTGAAAGCGTATATGTTATATGTACTATTATTGGAATGCAATTTTTTGTGACTTGCACGATCCCATAAGTCTAATTATGCTTGATGCGGCCTAATCAAGTACTTATCCTAACTTCACATTCAAAGACAACTCAGGCCATGTAGGCCCACATGTTGTATCAAAGTCTTTGTGCTCAAGCAGGCCATGCCTTGAATGTGCCAAGAAAACCTGTGTCGTGCCAGGCTCGTATTGGCCATTCAAAAACAGAGCTCATGCATAGCCCAACTCACGCACCATGTCGTGCCAAGCTATGGATATAGGCCTTTAATTACTTTTTATGTATTTGGTAAATTGGTTTACAATATAGGTCATCGCAGTGCTCATTCTCGTGCTAGCCATGTGCCAATGCTTGGAAACGATGTTCATGCACAACCCATGGATTGCCGACATACTTCTTATGCCATGCTCGATACGTTCATTTTCATGTTGTGACTTATCGTCTTATAGACCCACATGGTAGGCCTAGTCTAATTTTACGAGTTTTAGGCAAGCATTTTCGACCCGATCCTTAGCCCAACTCAATATATTAGGCATACTCGTATATTTTATATATGGCCCAACCAAACCTGACCCGGCCAGCCACATGATCACCTTTACCTCGTGCCGGCTCGGCCCTGCCCGGCCCGGTTTATGCCCACCTGAATCACCAATGACCCCTGACCTAACAGTTGACATTTCCCAAGCAACAACCAGGAAGAGAAAGAGTACTCCTAAGAACGGAAAATTTCAGCGACTCCCCCCAAACATAGCCACCCCCTGAATCCCCTTCAACCACCTTACCAAAAACCCCATTACAAAATCAGAAATCAGAACTTTGAATCACTTTCATCTTCTTTCTCAGCTTTAGACCACAACAATGGAGACGGAGAAAAACCCATCAAATGGTAAACAAAAATTAGATGAGACCGAAGAAGAAGACGACCAAATTGAGCTTGTCCTCTTTCATGTCCCCGAATGCTATGTCTACATCGTAATTTCCCTCTTTCTTCTATCTGATTTCAATTTTATTTCTAAATTTTCTTTCAATTTTATTTGATTTGGGGGTTGGGTTTTATTATATTGTATTAAAGATTGAATTTTTTGGAAATATCTTTAATTAACTGATATGCAAATGTAGATGTTGTGGAAGAAAGTGAAACAGTTGATTAATGCATATTACTGTTTTGCTGATCATGGATTAGTGGGGTTTTTGATTAATTTTTTAATTTTGAGTTATGATCTTCGAGCTTTAGTTGTGTAATGTATTGAACATTTTGATTAGCTTGGTTTTTAGTGTTAGATGTGTTATCTCATTGTAGATTGAGGTGGATTTTGTCGATCTTGGGTTTTTGAAATTTCAGATATAAAATCCATCTGCCTTAATTGGTGTGCTTTTTATCATGGTGATGTCGAGCCACATTTCGGTGGGAACTACTCGATTGTTTTGTCATCGTAATCGAGTTTAACCACCAAGTTCGGCATAGAGTGGTGTGGTTCCTTTTTTGGTGTATCATAAACTGAAATTTAGTGTTTTATTTCCGAGAAAAAGACTTTCTTTTGTATTTAAAAGATTCTGTTTTTGGTGAACTGCTTTGTGGTTTTGTGAACCTTATATTTCCCAATGAAGGTTTCGGTTTAATTGCCGGTCATATAACTTGTAGTTATGATCTTAGTCATGATTGATTTTCTTACTGTGTGGCCAATTTTATCCTAAATTGAAATGAGCACAATTTCCTTGAGGATCTTGTCTGTTATGTATATAGTTTAAGGCCTTATTGTGCTTTTGTGTTCTGCAGATACCCCCAAGGAAAACTGCTGCTTCATACAGGTATTTTATTCGTGCATTCAATTTTTGGATTCAATGTTAAATTATTGAGCTTTCTGCCTATACATATTTTCTTCTAGAACTAGTTCATATTGACATTATGTCATTCAAATTTTGTCTTAAAATTTCACTACTGTTATCCAGAATTTAATTTACAGTTACCATCACAATGCTTAAGTGACAAAAGAAATACTATGAATATATAAAATACAATTAGTGCCTTCGTTGAAACCTCAGCTGTTCAAAGTAAGGAATCATGAAAGCAATTATTTCAGATGGTCATGACTCATGTCCTTTAGTAGAATCTCATTGTAGAGTGGTTTTTGGGTTTATATGAATGCTGATGAAGTATTTTACACAAAGGTTTAACCGTTTTAAGGATAGCTGTATGGTTCTGAACCACAAGGAACAATATCCATAACCATAAGTTTATGAACTTCCACTTTGCATTTTCCATGTCAAGTGCCAACCACTCCTGAGATTCACATCACTACTACATATATTAATCTAGGATGTTTGTGTAAAGGCTTTAGTTCTGTATTCAATGCATTCCAATGCAGCCTTTTGTTCCTTTTGGTTTATGTCAAAAGTGCGCCTAGGCATTGAGGCACAAGGAAAAATTGGCCATGTAACTTTTTTGGTTTTGGTGAGGCGCACTAGAGGTGTGCCTACTGTACTCATTATGGCACACTGAGTCGCAGCTTGAGTCACACATTTTTTTTCTAGTTTACTTTATTGAAGTGCGCCTCAGTTCAATGGGATACACCGATAGGCAGGAAAACCTTATCGCCTTGGAGCATCTTGTGCCTTTGTTGATGTTCAAAGCCTCTGAAACTGTTTCTTTTGCCAATCATACTTTATTTCTTTTGGTAAAGAACTAGGCTGTGGACAGTAGACAATAGACACACAGCTGAAGAATGTTAGTCTCTTGATCCACCTTTTGGCTCCATACCTTGAGGAATTGAGTTTGTGGTAATAAGCTAGGCTGTTACAGGATCCCCTTTGATGATATGGAGGCTGCTTACATATATTCCTCATGGAACATAAGCATGTGGTAGACAGAGTCAGAGTTTCAGTGAAGAGTTAGATTAATTTTTGTAAGACACTTATGTTTGGAAATTATACTAGGTAATAGCATTTGAGAGCAGGAAATTTATCTAATTTGTCATAGAACAGTGTGCATCATAGATGTTTCTTGAATATTGCTTTATAATTCTTTTGTGTGAGCTTGTCAATTTTTACCAACTCATTCAGTAATCATTAGTCTGATGTGTCCTATGGCCCCTGTCCTCTGCTAAGGAACTTTTGGAAGTTAGAGCATGTCCACTAGGCAGTGTAAATTTTTATGTAGTTCTGTTAGTGAATACACCTGTATGACACTTCTACCTTTGAAATTGGCAGTGAGCTCTGTTCTCTCAATTGGGCAATTATATGGTTATACCCATAGTGACATGGATGAATACCTCGGATTTGATATTTTTGGGTGCCAAACTGTACCACAGTGGACCATTAACAAACCTACTTGTTTTACAACAAGATAACTTCGTTTGAGAAACAAGAGAACAATATATATAATTTATTCTTTAGCCATGAATAGTTGATCAAAGCCTCCATGCAAGTTTTAACTCTCTTGCGTTTTCAGTGACACTCAAATGTTATTGCTATTAGCCTCTTCGCAAGACTTGACTAGTTAAGGTTAGATTTATGTACGAATGCACACTTGAATTTCATAAGACCTTTTTTTGCGGCAGTAGCTACTTGCTGACCTGGAAGGCCTTCAACTATTGATCCTGCACAGCTTTGAAAATTTCCAGCTCAAATAGTGGAGTTCCAAACAATGTGGGAAGCACGAAAGCCATTTGCTATACATATGGGCTGGTGGTAAATAGCAAAATCAAAATTTCTCATGTGCTGTAGAATATGAAGTGATGCAGTGAGTAAATATTACTGCCTAATGCCATGGGCCATGACATACCAGTTATGTGCCCTATTGAATTTTGCTCAAGTTATCACTTATACAAACCCTTCCTTTTGTTACCTTGCCATTTTTTATTTTTGTTTATTTAAGGTTCTATTATAGCTCTAGATTAGATAGGGCCATCTGTAGGCGATTAAAGGAGAAATGGCGAATAGAAAGAGAATCTGAATTCAAAATGAGAATCAGCTTTTCTATCTCTTAATCTAGCCACTGCTACAATATGCTACCAATTAATGCCTTTAGTTTTCTTTTGCCTTCTCTGCTTCCTGCTTTGCCAATCCATCTATAATAGCTTTTGAGTCTGCTTCTTTGACTAATTTTAGTGTTTCACAAAATGGAAGCTCGTGATGAGCGTCTATACCTGGTTTCTGCAAATATAAACATTCTTGGCCATTTTTTAAGATCCTTTTTAGTATTTGCACTATCTTGCATATTAACTCAATAGGTGCTGTTAAAAAAAAAATAAAAAAAATAAAAAAATAAAAAAAAGGAAAATTTGGTTTTATTAATCCCAACTTTGGGCCTTTTAATAATCCCAATTTTCGATTATTTTTGAATAATCCCAACTTTGGGGGGCATTTTCTTTTAACGAGTAAATGACCGATGACCTGATTAAAAGGTTACTTTTTTAATTTTTTTTCTTAAATGACACGTGTCTTAGTTTAATTGGTCACAACATTTAAAAAAAAAAAAACAAAAAACAAAAATCAAATAAAAAGAACCACCACCAGCCCCCCACCCCCCCTTCCCCTTCCCCACCGGAAATCAGCCCCGCCCCCTCCCCGGCCTTACCCAGCCTCGCCGGAAACACCCCAGACCCTTCCCGTCCTTCCCCCGCTCCCGGAAAACGCCAATAGCCCTCCCCCCTCCCTTCCCCTATCCTGTAAATCACAGATTAATGATGATAGGAGTTTGAAATTAGGCCTTTATTGAGGTGGAATTTGATGAAATTGGGGGCATTGATCAAGTAATTCTAGAATTTGCAGACTGTTTTACACCAAAGAAGTGATATAACAGCAATCACGACAGAATTTCGGTGATTAGTTCAGTTGGGAGTGCCGCCATCAATGCTTAACACTCAAGCTCAAGGTGGCGGAAGGGAGAAGGGAAGGGAGGGGGGAGATTTCTAGTGTGGGGGAGGACTCCCGACGTTTTCCGGGGGCGTGGGAAGGGCGGGAAGGGGTTGGGGTGTTTCCAGCGAGGGGAAGGGAAGAGGGTGGGGCTGTTTTCCGGTGGGGGAAGGGGGATGGATAGGGCTGCTGGTGGTTTACTTTTTGTTTTTTTCTTTTTTTAAAAGATTTTTTTTTAATTTTTCTTTTTATTTTTTGGACCAATTATGGCTTGACACGTGTCAAGTAACCTGTTATTATAAGTCGTTGACTGGTCATTACCTGATAAAAGTAAACGCCTCCCAAAGTTGGGATTATTAGAAAATAATCAATAGTTGGGATTAATAAAAGTAAAATGGCCCAAAGTTGGGATTAATAATAACAATTTTTCCAAAAAAAAAAACTTAATAGGTGCTGTCAAGAGTCAAGACGTTGCAAATAGCTGCTCCGAACTATTCAAGCCTATATTAATCACTGCAGCTGGAATTTATTACTGAATAACTCTAAGTCAGTCTGTTCATTAGCTGAGTATCTGCATGTGAAAAGTTAAAGTTGCAGTTCAAGTTTTATGGTCTTTTAATCCATGATCGCCTGGTAGTGATGGACCATGTGACTATCTTTATCTGTCAAATTTTATAATGCCCTTGATAAGAGCCATCATCAGAGCATTCACTTTGAAGAATGCTAATTTGTAAATAAGAGCTTATTTTTCCAGTATTGCCTAAAGTTCATGGAAGATGGCAGATAGTCTGGTTAGAATTTGAGGTTTGTGTGGCCACTGATTCAACTCTGTATTCTCTCATACATTTAATCATATAAAGTTCAAGAGTGTGCCATTAATGATGATCTAATCCTTGTTGATGATGATTCCATGAAATTTATTGCTAGTCAGTTCTGCTGAGAATATGTTTTTGATCAGCAATGATTTTAGCATTACTTTGTGTTCAATTGTAGAGCTGATGAATGGGATGTAAATAAATGGGCATGGGAAGGAGTCTTGAAAGTTATTAGCAAAGGAGAGGAGTGCATAATCAGACTTGAGGATAAGTCAACAGGTAAAAAATTTACTATTCTACAGTATATGTGGTGGAAAAGTGTCTTCTATTGTGAATTGGACCTGCGTTGGTTGGGATATGTATTTGTTACCTTTTGTTCAGCATTTTCATTTTTCTTGAATTGGTTCAGGTGAACTATATGCTCGGGCTTTTTTGAGGAAAGGAGAGCAACATCCTGTGGAGCCTGTAATTGATAGTAGCAGGTTTGCTATATTTTGTTTTGCAAGTAGGCATAACCTTATTTGCCTATTCAGTTTTAAAAAATCTTGTCTAACTTCTTAGTTTCGGTTTCTTTATGCAGGTACTTTGTCCTCCGAATAGAAGAGAACATAGGTGAGGGGCTAAAATTCTCTTGCTTATGATTAAATTATTTGAAAAAACTATATTATACCCTAGTGGGCGCAGCTCTCTTTAAAATTGCAATTAAATTCCTAATTAGATTTGTTTATCTAGGTGGTCGCCTTCGACATGCTTTTGTTGGGATAGGGTTTCGAGAGAGAACTGAAGCTTATGACTTCCAAGCTGCTCTGCATGATCATATGAAGTAATTTCTTGCACTTTTCTGCATATTTACTTTCTTTATTGACACAACTAAACATATGCACAATAATCCCCTGGTTGAATAACAACACTGAGATGCATGTTGTCTGCAAAAGATTTACCTGATTGAACTGAAGCTTTTAAACCTATGAATTTAGGTATCTTGATAAGAAGAAAACTGCTGAAGAAATGGAGTATCAGTTCCAGAATTCTTCAACGGTTGATTACAGTTTGAAAGATGGAGAGACCCTTGTTCTTCAGTTGAAAAATGTAAGTCAAGCAGTTATTCAGTTGAAAAAGGAGACCCTTGTTCCAGAATTCATTAAATTGTTAGGTAATCATGTCATTAATAAACTTATTATTGTCAGAAACCTGGTGGCAATATAAAGCTGAAATCCATCGATCAGGGTGTGAACAACCTTTCAATTACGGAAAAAAGTAAACCTATAGAGCCTGCCCTTGCTATTAAACCACCTCCTCCTCCACCAGCGACTCTGTCACCAACTACTTCTCCTAAAACACCTAGATCTCCCAAGACTAATACTGGTAAAAATTTCGAAGTAGAGAAAGAAGATCCCAGCAAAGAGCAGCCTCAACCTGATTTAAAATTGAAGGACTCTCAAAATTCAGAAGATGTAGCAGATGATGACTTTGGGGATTTTCAGGCTGCTGACTGATTTTGTTATTATGTAAAAACTTTTGTTTATAATCAGTATAATTGTTTCAACCTAGTTTGGTGTATATGATGTTGTGTTCCATAGACAATGCTCATACAAACTCCATATGAAGTTTTTCGTACATACTTTCCTGCCTGGCAGGGAAACGAAAGTGATGTGTCGTGAGAGTCGCGTATAGAGAGTTGTTGATAAGGCTTTTCTGCTTGGTGTTACATTGTGAATTTCTTGTTCATGCAGCTGTTTGTATAAATTAAATCCGTTCTTTGTCTTCGCTACCCATTTCCTAGATACAGATCTAGAAGATTCATGAACTGTCAAGAAACTGAGGTTAATGAGGTTAGTGATTGTTCAATGTGGAAAGAGGCTTCCTATTCTCTTGTATAATATGGGATATCGTTTAACAAGAATCAATATCCTTCAGGATTGATGAATATAAGCAGTTGAGAAATGTTCCTTATGCATTTGCAAAAGGATTCATCATGTATGCCATGAAATGTACTCGTTTAAATGTTTCATATGTAAGTATGTTTCAAGCATGTGTAGATTTCAATCAAATCCAAATGAGCGATACTGCTGAATATGGTTAGAATATCCTGAAGGACTGAAGGTAATATCTTAGTGCATGGAGAAAAGAGACGAGAAGCGATTTGGATTAAGAAATTCCATAGAGTTAGGAATCTTAGGTATAACATCTAACACATGAATGAAATTGACTTGTATTGTGATAACAATGGTGTCATTGCTCGGCAAAGGAACCAGGATCATATCACAAACCCAAATATGTGCAGAAGAAGTTTTGTCTCATCTGCAAATATGTGCAGAAGAAGTTTTGTCTCATCCGCAAGATAGTTGATAGGAAAAATGTCAAGGTTTGCAAAGTTCATACGGATGAGCATATTGTCGATTTGTGTACTAAGCTCCTTTTTCAATCCAAGCATGACATTCACGCAAGGAGTATAGGACTCAAACATTTGGAGAACGGCTTTAGATTTGTAGTTCAAATTGACACACAATTTTAAAGACATAGATTTTGCTTATTCTAATTTAATTGTGGTTTAGAATGATATAAAATATCCAAAGTATGTTATAATATTCAATTGGCTTAGCAAATATGTGATTTGATAAGTGAAACCCTATAAGTGAACATAATTATTAAATATTTGTGGTTCCTAGTCTAAGTCATTAATGGACATAATCTAGTGCAAGACTGGCTTGTAAGTTGATTGATAGTGCAATTTTTTTAGGTTTTTGGTGCACTGAGTTGTTAAGTCAATTAATTATGTGCGTGTGTGCATGTGTGCGTACATTTATGAGGCGTGAGGGGCCGCTATTAGTATGGACCATACCAAAGGGCGAAAACAGTATAAATTCAATAATATAATATATACATTCTTTCCTCTTTCCCTCTTTCTCCATCGAAAATCTCTTTGGAATAATAACAGTATAAAATAAAAAATAACAGTATAAAATCAACTATAACAATATGTTTATCAATAATAACAGTATAAACAGAAACAAAAAAGGAATTTGGTATGGACCATACCTAGAGCTATCAAAAGCTGACCCGACCCGAAAAATTTACCCAAACCCGATTATTAACCAACCTGTTTGAACCCAGAAAAATGGTAACCCGAACCCAATATGACGCGACCTAAAACAAACCCTAGATCCGAGTTAACCCGAGTATTTGAGACCTGAACCCGAACATGAACCGACCTGGAAATGACCCGACCTGAATATAACCCTTAAATTATTGACCTAAACCTAACCTAACCTGAACCGAGATTGACCCAAACCCGTTTTAACCTGTCACCCGAATTTAACCCGACCTGAATTCAACCCGACCTGTTACTAACCCGACCCGAATTTACCCGACCTATTACTAACCCGATGACAGGCGGTATTTTAGGTCGTTACTAAGATACCTCTATCAATGATATTTGTAGTCCTAAACATGCAACTAAACGAGTATAGAGGCAAGTCAAGGGTCGAACAAAGGGAAACGATTAAGCACCGCTATTTATCCCCTAATGATAATCTAGTTCGATCAAGAAGTATGGTGGGTAAAGTAATGACTGAAAGAGATAGAATAACAATTAAAACAAGCACTAGGGGGAAGGATCAAACATGCTATGAATTCAACGAAGTTAGGCATCGGAAAATAGGTTTACATGTAATCCAAGCAACTCATACAAGGCAATATCAAAAATACTCTCTAATCACCGATCGGGATTAAGAGCTATCCTAGCTAACATACACTTACACTATCGTAATAAGGCATACAAACTAAGGTCATGCAATAATCAATCACCTAATGACTATTCCTAAATCACACAATCGTCATGATTTAGTTCAACTCACTCAACACAACATGCATATGGCCATAAACATGGAGTAGCCAATAAGTATGAGCTCAAGGAAGGTATAATCGCAAATATTCCAAATTAACCTAGCCTAACATACATCAAACTCAAAGCATGCCTTCACCAAACCCTTAGCAACAAGAGAATTACTCACAATCCATAGCCCTAACTACAATTATACTAATCAACATAGTAACTAAGGAATTAATGAGAAAGATGATAACTTTATCAACTAAACCAACAAAGATAGGAACTTTAAGCATAAAAACAAGAGAATAAGTAGAAGAATACCAATAACTTCATTGAATACTAAGTGGGAGGACAAAACCCATTCAAGTTCCAAAAAGCTTCTTCAAAAATACCCAAAAATAACCAAGGTTTTAGGGAAATAGAAAATTACACTAAGATCTATTGAGGATTTTCAATACCCCTTGGCTAAAAACTAGATCTAAGAGTTTTTTACCCTAAAAACTTCTATTACAAGCCTTTTTTTTTTCTCTTCTAAAGTATGCTGAATTTCTAAAATAAAAATTGCTCCCTTTCTCACTCCTCTTTGCTGTTTTAATTTGATTTCAGATTTCGGATTGTCGCAGAAAGGCGCGGCCGCGCCTAAAAGTAGCGTGCCCACTCCAAATATGGGTATAACGGGATTGGGCCAGCTCAGCACGTGCCCGCGCCCAACGGCTCGCCCGCGCCAAAACGCTGGTGCAATGTCTTCAATCCTTGCTGTAGTTCCTTCCCGATTCGAATCACCGGCAATAATCTGCAATTACAAAATAGGAAGGCAAAGCGTAATACAACGAAGGGGAAGGGGAGTAAAGACTACCTAAACCATATAGTAACACATTACGCAACACATAGGTAGACTACTCAAATTAGGCAAAACATAACAAAATCACACTAGAATGAACCTAATTACTGCTAAAACTACTAGAAAAGACTACCCTAGGAGTGACATAAATGTCACTCATCAAATTCCCCCAAGCTAAACCTTAGCTAGTCCTCGAGCAAAGCTAAAGACAAAGAAGAATAAGACACAATTATTCAAACATAAGAAAATAGAAAAGAAGGGGAAAAGGGTGTACACTTACTCACTTTCGTAGGAATCACGGTTGTTTTTAGCGTAAACAACAAGCCATTTAAACCTCAAAGTCGCCAATGAGGACGAGTATGCTCTCGTGGGAGTTTCCAAAGAGTTTAACCCACAACTCTTGGCAACATGCTCAAAACAAACCCAAACAAAGGAGCAAATAAAGAAGAAAATCAACTACAAACACGGAACAAAACTTGGAAATGAAGAGCATATTGAAAAGACAAGCATGGATGGATGACAATCTTTCTAAGCAATGAGAGTAAACACACTTTTAGATGCCAATGGTTGATTGAAAGATAAGCTATGCTAAGCATAGAGAACTCTAACATGCTCCACTCCCCCCGCCTTCCAAACATTCTTACCGCGTTCCCTCATCTAGATTCAAATCCTAATTGTCCTCAATGCGCATACTAGGGAGGACACTACATCAAAATCTTTTTGCAAAATTTCAATTCCTTTTTTTTTTTTTTTTTTTGAGCTCATGCTTTTGTCAACTTTTATTACACTGTCCTTGCCTTATATAACTATGGACAACTTTTTCTTAAATTCACATTTGCTTTTATTAAACACCAAAAATATCGAGAACACAACCTTACTTTCCATATCAAACCATCACCTTCCAACTTATCAAACCAAAATCACAACAACCTTTCTTGGCTCAAACTTCACAACTCTACGGGTGAAAAATGAAATAGAAGGGCCATAGGGTTTGTAATATGCTACAAACAAGGAGGTGTAGGCTCAACATTGCTATCAAGGGGAAGATGCAAATTAAATTACAAAGAAGCAACAAAAGAAAAGCTAAACCTAGAAAAGCAAAATAGTCACCGAAGAAAATGCCTTTGTCCTCCTTAGATTTAGTTCGATCGCGATCTTGGGTGGCTAGACATCAAGTTCTCGATCTAAGCATGCTTTAGTAAGGATCCTATGCCGCTCATACAAGAAGTGTTGGAGGCTTGAACAATAGATCTCACATCGGGGTTAAAAAACTACCTTGAGGGCTTCAAATCCCCTAATGAGAGCAACACCTTCTTACCACAAACAAGTGAATTTGGGTTCGATGGGCTTTACGAGTTCTAGCACAACTACCTTAGCATAGACATATCCTAGAGTCAACCAATGGCAATCCAAGAACGCGAAAACTCTTAATCCTTAGGAAGAAAGACATTCAAGAATGCAAATCCATTAAGCATTGCTGTTTATTTTTTTTTATTTTTTTTTTAGAAGAAGAATCAACATCATCATCAAAAATCATTGAACAATATATATACACATGCCTGTACTGGTCAATCGCCACTCCGGCGAAAACCAGTATTCATCATCATCATGAGCAGGAAAAGCGGGGGCGGACTTACCGGTATCCAGCAAACCGAGAGAAGCGTCCCCAAAGTAACGTCATCATCAAAATCACATCAAAAACTCATCAACAATATCAGTAAACAGGGGCAAAATCAACCAAAGAAAGCAGTCATAGGCAACTCAGCAGAGTAAGCAGCATAAAGGTGCAGGTAAAACAATGAAAGATCAGCAGGCAAGCAAGTGAGATTCCCAGCCAAGTCACTCCCTACCAAGAGTATATCTCCTACTCATCAAAATAAGCATGCAAGAGCAGGGGAGAAAGATATACTCAAGGGACGTAGCCTACTGGCCACGAGGGCCAGGCTCACTAGGTGAGCCAGTCTGATGTGGTGGCACGTCATAAGCGAAGCCACTAGGGGGGCCGAAAAGGCCCCAACCACCGTCAAGGCCCGGCGGCTAACCATAGTGACCCCTGTAAAGATCCTCTTGCCAACTGGGCAAAGGATCAGAGGGAGTGTCCTC